ATATTTGCCTTCAGTCATCTGAAGATCTCGTGATGACATTGGTGCATTGACTGACTTAATGTTTGCAGTACTGTAGAAAGCAGACTTGCAAGGGCATGCTAGTAACAATAAGGGCTATTACTAACAGTAGAAGTCCTTCTTGTTGTCCTTGACATCCTTGCAAGTTTCAACTGGAGCTGATCTTTGGTTTTCCTGACACCATTCCTACATGCCTAGGTGGTGTTTTTTAATTTCTTCTTTACAGCCTGTCCCTGCTTCCACTGCTGTATGACACCTTTTGGCACTGGAGTTCTTCCAAGCAAATCTCTTGATACATGTGCTTGTCTCCCTGAATATCAGGATGGACTGTTCCTGCCCTTGGAGGATGCTGTGCTTTACAGGCCTGTCCACAGGCTCTCACTCAGCCGGTCACCCTTCCCATGGAATAGCTCCACAGATCTGAGCTGCCCCATTATAGAGATAATAAATAGACATAATAGAGATAAAGCCTCTTCCTTGTCTTTCCTGCAGTGTGTATCTCTTCAGTTGTGTGAGCCATCCCCACATCCCCACACACCACAGTTTACATCCTGATGTAAAGTTTTTCTCTCCAGATGGGTTTGACACTTTCCCCCAAGCCATGTTGTTCTTCATACACTCCAGGTTAATAAATAAAAATAATGACAGGAATGCTTCAAGATACAACACACACTGCCTGGGAGGAGAGGTGAGAGCACTCTCCTCATGGACCCTGGTCAGGGAAGCTTTCTGGTCACAAGTAGCAAAGCAGATTTATTTGTGGTTGTGCACTACACCCTCACACAGCATTCCCTGCTGGTGTGTGACATTTGTTCATTTTGCAATGCAGCTGCATCCTAAATAATTTTTTCATGAACCTTAATGGAAATGGGGTGGATAGAATCCAATTTTCCTTGATGACAATTAGGTATCTTAATCATAAGAGCAGACTATTTTTTTGGGTCTCTGATTTAAAACAATGATTAAGCACAGGCAGCCTTACTGACTTAAGCTAGGAATTTCTGTTGAAATGTAACTTTTCACTCTTATTTTCAGGTATTTCAAATTATTGTGAAAGATATGCTGGAGGAATGAGACTTGTTCTGAACACCTTTGGGCCAGTTCCAGAATTTTCAGGTGAAACTGTGCAGAAAGTCAATCAGGTAAATATGGAGTTGATAAAAACAGCGACATTCAGAATAAAAAACGTTAGTTTTTATTTTAACATTTGCATTTCAGTTTACTGCTGGAGGTATCTGTAGTCTGTATTTATTGTGTGAATGTGTACTTTAAGGGAAAAAATCAGTACAGCATGCCTGTGAGTCCCTTTTGAAAGCACTTGGACATCATGGGAAAATGACGTAGCAGTCACATTATTGCCAGTAACATTATTACTAAACAGTGGAGTCAGCTGCTAACAGCTGTGGGTTATTAGCTTTTAATCCTCTATACTATTCCTTACCACTTCCCTTCTCTCATTGTATTGTGCTCAGCCTCCTTTCTTACATGAATATTCATCCTGTGTCTTCCTCCTGCTCCGTCTTCCTGCATAAGCTTGTAGCTTTTTTTCTTCTGGGTGTTCTTTTTATACTTTACAAACCAGAGTTCCAGTTTTCAATGTGTGCAAACACACATTTAAGATAAGCATGTGGGCAGTCCAGTAAGGTTACTTGCATGTTTAAAGATAAAATGTGTTTAAGTGCTGTTCTAGATTGGGATCTAGTTTATGCATTAACATTTCTAAGCCCACGATTTGTTTATATTCACTATGTAGTCAATTTGAATTGACAGGAATCAACTGAGGTATTGTCATTTCCTAACTCTGCCTTTTCAAATTATTCCTCTGCCTTTTTTAATTATTCCTGAAGAACAAGTGTAGGGGTTGAATAATTTCTGATCAGCTGTCAGAGATTAATTCCAAGTATGGAGGCAGTCTGTCTGGAAGACAGCATTTTGTGTTCCTGTTTATGTTAATGCATTTTGAGCAAATAGATTCTTCTATGCTTAAACAACATAGACTGCTTATAATAATGATCAATAATAATTTTGGAGTCATTCACGATCAGAAGCTTTTAATTGGTATGAAACAATTTGGCTTTCTTTACAGAAGGCTGGATTTCACTGCAACATCTGCTTCTGTGTCTCTTTATTATCTTCAGTCTTCAGTGGCAAATTTGGGCTTGCAGAGATGCTGTGTTAAAGTAAATCATTAAACACAAATTTCTTATCTTATTCCTCCATCCCTCCCTCTGATTTTTTTCTGGAGTGACTGCAGCTTGCCAGTTGTTAGTAGTAGGTCCAGGTTTTACCCAGTTTCTCAACACTTGCCTTTTAAGCCTGAGACCTCAGGTCCTATTTTGGCAAAGATGACCTTATGGTGTCTATCTGCACTCTCAAAACAACTTTTTTTCCCTTGGCACTTCTAAGACAACTTCTATTATTTGCTCAGAAATCCTTTTTTTCCCCTGGGTTTGCTATATGTCTTCCCCTGTCACTTTTACTATAACTGGTATTCTTAACACAAAATGTTTTTATAAACATGAGATCACTCACTGCATTTATGGGGAACCACACAAAAGAATCTGGTTCAGAACACGTTTTCAGCAACATAAATGGCCAGGTAGTCTCCTTTCTACTTACTAAAAGATTATCATCAGAGACTAGACAGTGAGTGGGTGGAGCAAAATGAGGGAAGAGGCTGATTCTTTGTTTTTTCTGTAGTCATGTTCATTGCCACATTCAGGATAACCTTATCCAAGTGGGAGCATTTTTATTCCCATACAGGTTGGTTCCTTTCCAGTTGCTCATGTACAGAATTGGTGAAATTAGTGACTTATTTCTTGTGATAGCCTAAATTATAGGTTGTGTGGACAGTGACTTTAGTCATGTTAAATTTTCTCTTCCAGGCACTGTCTGAAAAAATTCCAGTTGTTCCAAAGGCCCTGGATGCCAGGAGAAAATGGAGAGATGAATGTCTCACTGGTCTTGCCAAACTGAAAACACAAATGAAATCTGACTGAGGTGCACCTTATCTAACAGGAGAGACCAAATGAAGAGCGGATTTCCATAAAAAAACATAAATTTTTGGTCATGCAGAAGAAGAGACTGAATGGGCAACCAATGATATAGACGCATGGAGACCAATGAAACATTTGGTCCAAATTTGCCAAATTCATGAATGACTAGAAACAGTTATTAAAAAGTTCAGTTAAAATTTATCAAATGACTATACAAATGCATTAGATGTGTAAGCATTAAGTAGCTTTAGCGACATTGATACTGTGCAATGCAGGAACACAATTACGTTTTAAATAATGCATTTTTCAGCTTGCTTAGGAATTCAGCACTTGAACAATATTTGCTAACACAGGGATCTGAAACAGGCAAACATCAGCTGTTTGTCACTGGAGAAAATAAGCCCTCCCCCGCTGCCAGTCACTGTGACAGTGAGGTTAATTTGTAAAGCAGTGAGTGCTGATAGCAGAAGGTTGTATTGAGCAAAGCGTGGATTCACCCCACAGTGAGCTGAGACCTCAGCAGTAGTTAAGGGTCACTTCAGTTCATATCTGTTACTGTTTCCCAATGCAGGGGAAAGAACTGCTCCTCCTCTCCCTCCCCTTGGCACTTCTGTACCTGTATGGTGATCTAAATGTGAGTAAATAGAGCAGAATTCCCCCTTCATCCTCTTGCCCTGGTTCTGTAAGACTTACCAGAGATCTACTTGGTCTTCAAGACCATGCACTTGCTCACTGATGTTTGGTGCTGGCTCTCGGCATTGCTGCATAAATATGTGCCCAAGTTTATGACCTGTCTGTGAGAAATAAGAGATCTGGATTTAGTAGCTGGTTTGGGAGACAGTATGGTGTAGTGCATCTGTCTGGGCTTTCTCCACGACCTTCCGAATGATCTTGGAAAACCACTTCAGCTCTCTGCTGCTACGTGTGTTTTATACATTGGTTGAAGCAAGATTTGCTTCTTTAGGACTCAGCTGTAGTGAATGTAACAGCTGTAGCTGAAGGAACCCAGATATCTGAGTTGGAGCTAGATGATCTTTAAGGTCCCTTCCAACCCAAGCCATTTGATGATTCTACAGTCTGCTCTTCTGGTCCCCTACAGAGGGAAAGATGCAGTGGCTAAGATGGAGCATTTATGCTTTGCTGCTGCCCTTCCCTCAGGAGATACAACGTCTCCACACAGAAAAACACAGGATACACCTGGAAGTAGGATCAACCTCAGGGGCTGCAGTGGCACGTTTTGCAAAGTACACTATGGTGCACATAGGTCCACTGCAAAGTGTTACTATGAACATCTGTACTCTGTAATATAGTTGGACTTTGATCTTAGCTGGAACCTTGGAGCATTACTGTTAATGCAGATGGTAGGAATAACTTGAAACAGGGCATTGCACTCAGCCTGCCTGAGTTATGCAGTTCTGGATTTGTGCTAGCTGGTCGTGTAACTTCACAGTACACATGCAGAAGTTTTAAGCTGTCATTCTGCTAATTCTCATGTGTGTTTTACAGAGGATGCAGTACACAAACAAGCTGTTCTTTAGTAAAGCTGTAACTTTACTAGTTACCATTCTGAGCTTAGCAGAAATGTCTGCATGAACATACCAAGCCCACTTATTTGTGCTTAGGTCACAGTAAAAGAGACTTAAGATAATTTGTATAGCTTGACACAAGTGCTGGGCCAATAACACATCTCTGGATGTAAAACATAGGATGGGAGGCATAGTGCAGAGATTGTCCTGTGCTTCTTTCTAACCAGTGGAGTGAACAGGAAATTTGTAAGCTCAAATAATTACTTTATCCCAATACAGACTTAAAATTTTCATGTTTCTTCTCTTGTTTTTTATTGCCACAGTGACTGGCTCAACCTGCATTTTGATGTCTGAGAGGTCAGACCTCATTCCTGAGGCCTTACTAAGCAATAGTAAATTAATTATGAGGTTGATTTCCTCATTTTGTGTATGGTTTTGCATTTCAGACAAGGCTGAAGAAGGTTCTGATTACTTTAAAGATTTGACCTGTTTTCTTGTGGGCATATGACATTGTTATAACTAATTAGCTTGCAGTGCTTCTGTTTACTCTGAGATTTTTTAAAAACTTGATCATGTCATGAAATATTTGCTTCTGTCTTTATTATTTGCTTATTAATAAATATTTTAATGAGGAAGGTATTAACTTGTGTGCTCCAGTGTGATTGATGCTTTAGAGACAGAGCATTTCTGTACAGTGAGCTCCACAGGGTTACAGCAGATCTCACCTTGGAGCATCAGCTCCCACACAGGTTTACAGCTGTAAGTTGAGGAGGGTGAAGGTTCTTGATAAAAAGTGTATTTGAGCTGACATTTGCATAGGAGTTCCAGCCTCCAGGAGACACCTTTTGCCTCATGAGGATTAGTCAGGCAGAGGTTGTCAAGAGAGGTGGTGTAGTCTTCCAACCTGCAGGTTTTCAAGTCCTGACTGGATGATGCCCTGAGTAGCCTGGTCTGACCTCAAAGCTGACTTGCTGTGAGCAGGAGGTTACAGCAGAGACCTCCTAAGCTTCCTCCTGGTTTGAATTTCCTGATTTCAAGTTTTATTTGATTCTGGATAATTTTGCATTAGAAATGTTGTTCCAGATGCAGTCAAATATTTAATTTGTTTGTCTGTCAATAGAATGAGCAGTAGTTAAATGTTCAAGTAACTATTTTATGGTAAACTATAAGTTGTTTTGGAATAATTTATCTTGTGGTTTCATTTTTACACAATTGCATATTTTAAAATCCTGTATTTTTTTATTCAGATTACACCTATAGAATTTTCTAAGGCTGTCTTTGTTGCACTGTGTTTTTCTCTGTTTCACCAATTTGATATTTATTATTTTCCTCATTGTATGTATTTTTCTGTAAGTTACTGCTGCTTATTGGAAGCAGTGTCCAATAGGTTCATACCAAAGCCTTCGATTTAATGCCATTAAAAAGAAACCATCTACAGATAGGAAGAAAAAACAGATGCAGGGAGATACTCAATTGCTTCACTGAGAGAAGTCTCCAATACCTCTATTTCCTAAATCTTTGAGTATAATGGAGTAGTTTGCAGCTTGCAAAGCAGCTATATTAATTTACTTTCCCTATTCTGTTGTTGTTTCCCTATTCATCTGTTAAGTCATGATAAGTTTGAAAGTTAAAATGTGAGCATTTTTCTGATTGTATTCTTATCTAGTTGGAATGGTATTAAACTGTGTTATCCTATATAGACAAGCTTTTAGGCAAAGAGTGAACTGTGCTTCATTGGGGAAGCAGGAGAAGTGCTTGTGGTGCTTGTATAAAAACAGAAAAAAATAATTTTGAGACGAAGTGATGTCATTGTCAGTCTCAGTTTCTCAAAAGATGAGATCTGCTGCCAGTGCTATGTATAGTTCCATGTCAGGATTGCATTGCCATAGTATGGAATTATAAAAAGGTGTTTGAGAACCTTTCTAACTGTGGTGCCTTTGCAGGGATGAAGATATGGAGGACAGGAGCTCTCTGTGAGGAGCCCAGCAGATGTGAACCTAACAATTATTGCAAGTATCAGGAGGAAAACTAAATGGTCTTCTGCTTTCAGCAGCCCACCAGGCCCAAAGGGAATGTTTCACAAATTAATTTGGATCTAGTTAGAACAAACAAGTGTAAATGAGTATGTTTGCTCCAGCTGCCTGCTCATCTGCTTGGTTCCCTCAAGCTTCAGTGTGAGTGTGTGTGTGGTGTCATGCATGTGTGGGTGTTATTGCAGAGTGGAAAGACAAAAACTGACCCCAGGGAAAAACTCACATTTGATTTGGCAAGGCTTTGTATGTACCAGGCAAAAAAACAAGTATTTTTTTCTGTTATTTTCTGTGATTTCAGAAAGAGAAAGGAGTTCCTTCCTTCGGCATGTTATTCAGAGCTAAGCAGGGGTGCAGCTTAGAGTACATCACTTACAGGAAGTTACCTATGGACTGGTATCTGTTCTAGTTAACTTTTGGGTAGAACCTTCTTTAAAAAGGCTACACAAATCTCTTGCTTATATTACAAATGGGTGGTCATAAGAAACTAGCAGTGTTCTAGTTTTCTATGGAGCAGTATAATTTATTTTCTTAACATATTCCAAGAAATGCTCTTAAAAAGGGGCTGGAAGGATGGATTGCTCTCCATCAGACATTTAAATGGAAAGATGCTTGGAAGAAAACAGCACTCAGTGTGTATGAGATTTCTTCTTGAATGTGGGTGTGAAATGGAGATTTTAACATGTGGCTTGGTAGACTCCTTCCAGCTACTTCGATTTCACATCTGTTTTCACAAGAAGCAGAGATGTGTAAGCTGCAGAATCATCCAGAAACCTATTTCTGTTTATCTGTGGGTAGAATATAATCTAACATGGAGAAGTTAACTTAAGATTCCATAGTTTTATGTGGATACAGGAAAGCTTTATGCTGAACTTACTTTTTTTAGAAGATTCTATACAATAAGAGCTGTAAATTTGCCCTAAATTGGATACTTGATCTGTTTAGCTTAAGCCTAGATGATGACACTGTTGTAGTTTCAACAGGCTGCCCAAAGCCTCCACAAGGGTCCAACATCTCTGTGTCATCATAATGGAGATGTTTGCCAGTAGAAAACATTAAAAAGGCTCTGTTATTTTAAAACGCTATGAAAACCCTTCTTCCCATTTGCATTGTGTTTAAACTTCACCATTAGATCTTGCTCTAACTTTTCCAATACCATAACGGTACCTACTTTCCACATCAAGCCATGGTTGCTTGTTCTTGATCTGCTTAAACAGGTAATGCTCCTAAGGAATACAATGGAGGCATTTTTTGGCAGCCCAAGGAGAAAGTGATGAGGCTGGAAAATCCTCTCAGTAACTCTGATACTGCTGAAAGAATGAGGTTGTTGTTTATGAGTCAGCTTTATTGCAAGCTGTGTTGATGTGGAGCTTGTTGGTTTTTTTTTTAATAAGCCCTAGTTAATGGGGTGAAATTGCATAGTAAATCCTTGGTAGTAATTTAGAAAGTATTTCTGTGCAGTTAAAAACATATTTCTGGAATTGCCAGTATAACACAAGGGCAGCAGTCACAGAAGCGTGTAGTTTTCCACATTCCAGAGCACCTTGCAACCACAAAACCAGATTTTCTGATATTACTCAGCAATGCCATTTCAAAGCCATGTGGTAATGGAAAGATGTAATTGTGCCATTAATGGAAAGATGTAATTGTGCCATTTCAAACACACGGGCTACTGGAGACAGCAAATTGCATAGCCAGGTGATTTCATGGAACGAGCAGTGCTTGTTGTCCATGTTGTACTGAAGTTTACAGAGTAGCTTAAAGTCACATTTTGTATTTCTACAAACCATAAATGTTTCCATTTGCTTTTGATTTTCCTTCTTTAGAAAGAAAAGTTAACTACAAACATCATCTCCCCTCTATCAGTATCTGTATCACTGCATAGTAAAGGGTGATTACAGAAGTCTGAATAATAGCTTCAACTGCTGAGACATCTCATACTACTCCAGTGTGTTGTTTACAAAACAAAAGCTATTAAAAATAAGGATAAAACTGCAGAGAAAAAAATTGCAATTTTTTTATGAAGATGCAGGTATTATTTATATTATGACAAATAAAATCAGATTTAATCTGATCTTAGTGTCCTAATAGTTTATTATAAGGGAAAACCAGTAAGTAGGGATTAATGCAAATATATTTAATCATCAGTAAAAGTGAGGTAGGTGCATGTTTGTTGCACTACGTAAACAGTGCTTACTGCATCTGAATATAGCTTTTGGTTTCAAGTATCTTCTTAAAAAACTAGTCCAGACTCCTCTGGAGTGTGCTGCTATAAAACATACTGTAACAACTGCCCAGACAGTGGTCACTGGCTGTAGCCTAAGGTAGTTACTGCCATGTCCACCCTGTTGGCAGTCGTGTCCCCAAGCCTATAAAGAGCAAAACAAAGTGTCGTTTCCAGCTGCCACCTCTCCTGTGAGCTGTGGGTGAGTTTGTCTGTCACCAAAAGCACTCTGCTCCGACACGCTGCTGCTTGCCGTGCTGGTGACCGTGCTGGTCAGTAAACAGGCAACGTGGGAAGCCTCGCTCACAGTCCTGGGGTTTGTTCTGTTTCTTAGGCCAGGTCATTCTGTGCTGGCCTCCAGCATGGCTTGCTGCCCTGTTTCAGTAGCAAAGGGCTTTTGGCTGTACTGCCAGTATAGGCCAGTCTGCCCAGCTCCTGGGAAGGCAGCCACAACCTGTTGCAGAGCTGGAAATGGATGTTAATAGCTCATTCTCATTTACCCATTTTCCAGGATAGCAAACTTGGACTATTCACCTATAAAATCAATTTTTTCCTTCCAAGATAGTTTACCTGTGATAGCTGATACCCATCTGCCATGGTGCTGTACTGGTCCATGCTCTTTTCTGTGATCCCCGCAGCAGCTTTTCTGATTTTTGCTGATGTGGGTTACTGCCAGCTGCCATCTACCTGATGGCATTACTTCAGTCTGAGGAAAGCTGGAGAGCTTTCCATGACGTAAATTTTGAGCTGTCAGCAGCACGGGGGCTCTTTGCCAAGACGTGTGTAGTTGCAGGACCTTCCTCTGGTGGTCGTGTCAGAGGTTCTGAAATTTGTGTTGAAAGGTAGAGGTGATCACCACTGGCTGTTAGAGCCTACAAGGAGGGCTTTAACATGACCATACTCATGATTTATGAGTCATTTAAAAACCAGATAATTTGTAAGCTGCCTAATTAAAGCAATGTTGAAACACTTCTAGAACAACACATGATCATCTTGTTTATAAGAGAACAGCACAAAGACCAGAACTGAATAAAACCCAGCTAACATGGGAAGACTGGTTTGTTTAGCATTAACACCACTTAAGTAAGCTGTCCCTTACTTTTGGCAACACTCAGTGAGCTTATTTTCAATAGTGGCACTGGAACAGTGTTATTCTCATTGCTTCTCATCCTTTTAGTGTGCATTTCCTCAAGAAGTTTCTCTGAGGGAAGAAAAACTTTGTATTTACCAGCCATTTTTTTAAAATTTATGATACTTTGCATGATTTCCATGCAAAGTAGCCATATGGGTATATTCTGTACTTCGTTGTATTTATTTTTCCTTTTTTTTAGGAAAAATAAATACAACTTCCTTTGAATTGTCTGTTCACCATTCAGCTCTCTTTCCACATTAGTTTCTTCTGTGGCCCTTTATTACTGATGCTTTTCAGCTGCTGAGAGGATCATCTTTAATTTCAAAGCTACACATGGGGATTAAATGCTACCCAGATGTTGTACCAACCTCCCACTCCAGCCTCTACAAGCAAACCCTTTGTGATGAATACTGATTCTTTTCACTCAGTAGGTTGGATCCAAACTCTAGATCTGGCCATCTCAGTAGGTTGGATCCAAACTCTAGATCTGGCCATCTGGACCCTGTTTCATCATGGCTGGTGTCTCAAGGGTGTGTTTTGGACATTCCCATTGCAGTTCCCCAGGCACAGCCCAGCTGCCCATTGGCAGAATCTCCTCTGACTCACATTTCTCCTAGGACAGTGCTGTGTGCTGCAGGTGCAGGAGTGCCAAACACAGCCTTTTTCTAATCCTCTCTGTTGACAGCAATGTTTAACTTCTCCAATTTAACCTCATGATAGGTTCCAAGATGAAGCTGCTCCCTATTTTATATCTGACTCAGTATTTCTCTGTCAACTTGCTGAGATCATTGGTGATCAACTACTGGTTGATCCTTAAAACAAAGTTATTGGCAGAAGGCCTTTTTAGACCATAGGGATTTCCAGGACCTGGAAGGCACAGGGCAGTAGAAGCAGGACCCTTGTGGTCAGCACAGTCCCTGTAATGTGGGACATTATATTCCTTTTTCAGCCTCACAGGGCAGCTCTTCCAACCCTTGGCTCCTGCCTGTTGCCTTTTCAACTCCTTGCATCCTCCCTGAGAAGCAGAGACCCCACGCAGGTGATGTGTGTTGGATGTACCAGTGCTCACTGATGTAGCTTTTCTGCACCCTCATTGCCTCCAGCTCTCACTTCATATTCTTTCTTTCTATTCCCTAGCAATGGAATACATTTTTGCTTGTTTCCAGGCCTGCTTGGCCTTACAGACTTTTACAGTCATGGTTTTCTCAAGGAGACCTTACTATTTTTGTTACTTGAACTATTATTTTCACGTATTTTTAGTGGTATATCCAAAAATTTTGCCTGGAGGAAGCTCTTGTGGCAAATCTGCGACAGCTCTTCCTTTTTCTTTATTCCTTTTATGAGGAAATTATGAAATGCCTAATACATGCTTCTACTTTTGTTAAGGTTTGGAATGGAACCAGCTACAGTTCACACAATTCCACCCTTGGCTAAAATCCCCAGTTTACTTACCTGGGAAAACCACAGTAACTGGGTGGAGAAAGTATAGTCTCTACAATTAAAATGCAAGCTGACTTAATGAAGGGATATTTATTAGGGAAGAATTTTATGACAGTATATTTTCACCTTGGGCAATAATCTCATATACAGCACAAGAGATAGCACAGGGCTGAACAACACCATGAGCACAGCCCAGACTGAGGGAAGCTGAACTGGGGGCTCCTCAGATCTGTGTCAGCATCTCCCTTCATGGCCCAGGAAGACAGGCAATGGTCCTGGCTCGCTCAGTTTATTTTTACTCTGTGCCTTTTCCTAGCAGCCCTTTTTGGTGTTATTTTTGCATTTGTACCTTTATACAGTTCCTGCCCTTCTACCCCATATTTCTAATTTTGTTAATCCATGCTTGTTTGGAGGTCCCTTACAGTCTCCCTCATTTTCCAGCCTACTTAATGCTCAGCTGCATCTTTGCATTCCCATTTTTCCCTCAGTGGAGGCTGGCAGTGCTGTGGGTCAGGCCCCCTCCCAGGGGAGGAGGATTGGGGATGGCAGAGGGAATGGCTGCAAGAGCTACACAGGAACCTGATTTGAGGGTGGCACCTTGCTCAAGCCATGTTCTCAGCCCTGGGCATGGCAAGTTAAAAAATCTTGACTGGGATCTGATCGATCCCCTGTCAGCCCAAGACCAGGATTTATCACCTGCTGCTCAGCCTTCCACATCTTTTCCTTCTGATGCCCATGATTTTGGCTGACAGTTATTTTAACTGTTTGCTTGGTCTTGAGCTTTGTTCCTTTTGTGGCCATCTTCACATACTTATCTGCACTCTTGGGCTCACTGCTTATGAAATAGATTAAATAATATTTTTGCAAGCTTTTACGAGGTTGTATGAGGCTCAGCCTAGCTGCAAATACAAGTATACAAGTTTGATCCACAGCTTATATTTTTTTTAAAAAGTCTTCCTGAGTGTAAGTTAAGCAACTGAACAAGTTACTTAGAGCAGTTGCAGAGGTCTTTGAGTTCTCTTAGGAAAGGATTGCTACACATCTCTTGGAGATGATGCAGATATAATTAGTACAAATCAGAAATCCTTGATCCCTACAAACATGCAAATTAGAAACATTTAAAATACACAACATGGCCTAATGCTTAATACAAGCATACGCCCAATGCTCATGAAGACACAAATTAATTTATCTAAAGAGACCCGAGAGGAAGATGAAGAAAAAGGTAGGGTGACACTTGATCACTATAAGTAGTCTAGCTCTGAGAATGCAGTTTCCAAAGGGTTATTTTGGGAGCATTTTAGGTCATTGTACAAAGGAAAAAAAAAGAAAAATAACAACAACAAACTAACCAAAACCACAAAAAAATCCAACCCCAAATTTACTGTAAAGAACAAGATAAATATTCAAGGAAGCAATCCAAGATAGAGTGGTGGAGGGCACTTTGGCAACATGGGAAAGCTACACAAACAATACATAATATGATAATTTCCAGAAGGGTATGAGCAAGTCAGAGCTTCTGGGACATCCCCGTTGCACAAGTAATGAAGAAATCACAAGAACAGGCACTCATAACTTTTAGAAAGGGGAAGCTGTAGAGGAAATAAAGTTAAGACACAGACATGTTGAAATAACCAGGGAAGGACAAATCACTGTCAGCGCTGCGGCAGTTGACAGATGAGAGAACGGAAGAGGGAAACAGGACATGGATGTGAAACTAGTGGGGAAAGGCTGCTGGAACATCAGAAAGAACGTGCAAAACCAGGAGAGTGTAAATAGGTACCGACTAGCAGGTGTTATTGCCTTTTCCTGATTTTATGGAAGGTCACCTCAATGCTTCCTTAGAGATATGGGAGTCAGTATTGGAAGCAGCCTTGGTGAAAGCTGCTGTCAGTGGATTCACATCACTTTAAAGGCAGCAGTGAGTAAGGAGGAGCCAGTCAATCCCAACAGTTGGGCAGAGAGCTGGGGATGCCATGGGCTGGTCATGCTCATTCCTTTCAAGAGACATCTGCTTCAGGAGGTAGCATTTTATAGGGTAAACAATGTCATGCAGACACATAAAAAAACCCCACACTGTAATAAAATGAAATTAAGGTTTCAACAAGATTGTTGATAGTTTTTCAAGAATTAGTGAACCTTTGGGCCATTGTCTGAGGCAAGTACTAATGGAGCCAAGGAGTTGTGGAGCTCCTGTGCTTCTCATCTCCCTGAGCAGCAATTGGCATTTAGGGGCTGGGAGAGATATTCCAAGGAAGATCTGAATGTTCCTTGGTGACTGCATGTAAGACAGTATAAATAGCAGATATATTTAAATTAGTGACAACACTCTCCATTGTCCTGCAAGCATCAGTCCTTCCATCTTAGATTCACAGCTTCTCCTCTCCAGTGTCTTCATCTAAGGCAAAGGGCAGAATGCTGCCATGCAGGAATTAATAATTAACAGATAGGTACTATGTTTGCAGGAGATGGACTCTGCACCACTAAGTCCTCCATGGATGACAACAAATGGAGCTTTGTTCAGCCACTGGTGTTGGACAGTACACTGGCACTGGAACCATTCTTTGAACCTCTCTTTGGTGTCTGAGTGCAAATGTCTCTGATCCTGCGTGTCCATGGAATGGGTGTCATTCCATGGAGTGAGGGTGGCTACAGCAGGCAAAAGGCTGGGTAAATTAAAGATGTAAATTTGAAAAAAATGGGCAGATTAAAAGGATTGGCTGTAAAACAAAGTGAGTATGCCATGAGATAAAGGTACATATTGGGCTGCAGCTGAAAAGATTATAGTAGTGATATATAAAGAATGTCTTGAATTAATCACTTCCTTTGTGAAAGTATTTATGTTTTGCAAATCATTATCACTTAGCAACCTACACTGTCATTTTTACTTTTTACAAACTTAAACTGTTTCCTGGGGGTATTATCTCTGTCTGGCTCAGCAAAATTAAAACAGTAGCTCACTTAACACTGTCTATAAGTAGATGGAAATAGCTGGCTCCAGATGTGTTATGAATTGTGCTTAGAGAATTAACATGGTTTAGATCATAGAAAGTGAGACATATTTGCTGTTCAACACTTTCTTATAGAGCAGTAATCTGTGTTTAGCTTTATGGATCTTATCAAATGCTTGTTCAAGCCAAGTCGCAACTCTTGCCAAGAATACTTAATGCCACGTTTGAGACGATGAAATGTAAATCATGAGGGGAGCTGGCAGGGTTGCTGGGTTCCCTCTCTGCACTGAGACACCCCGC